ATATATATATATATTGTTACTATATAAATACATATATTACTAAGAGCAAATTTAAATTATTACACGCGAATTATTTAACTATTTTTTTTAATGAGAGAATGAACTAAATGATATATAATTCTACCTAAATAAATTGATAAAAAATAAAAAATTATTTGAATCAAGTTTTTGACATAAGTAATTGCTCTCTTCTCAAATCTTCAAATCATAAGTAATATTATACGATTAAAAACTATTATATACATATACACATATTATACATTTTTCTTAAAAATTGATTTTTGAAATAAAATATTTAAGAAAAAAAACAAATTTTCTGAATTCTTCGATTAAGTCGTGATTGCAAATACGAAGTAACAAACATCGAATTAACTATATATCAAGGTCTATTTACTAAACCGTATCATATTTCAGAATTACTTTCCGCTAAGTTTATTCTCAATCGAAATACGATTATATAGAAATCTTAAGGTTTACCAAAAGCAAGAACGACAAGAATCCAATTTTGTGTCATACCTTTGAACGTACAATGATAAAACAGTGATGTTTTAATTAATTAGCAAAGCTTTAAACAATCTATTTTAACATGTCACTCAGCATAATTAAAATCGTTTCGAAGATACAAAGCATCTCATCAAAAAATTGTTAAAATTGCTCAGTCAATTTTAACTCGTGATATTAGTTTAGTAGAATTAGCGTTTCAAGACCGAAAAATCATTTCGGCGCGCATTTAAAAGAAAAAAGGATTACATACGTAGTATATAAATTCACACACAATCATAAAAGCATTTAAAAGCTCCAGCTAAATCGTTTAAGGCTTTAATTGCTGTAGTTGTGTTATCACATATACGGCCCTATATATACATTATTATAGTATTTAATTAATTTGTCATTGAGAAAATAAAGAAGATGTAATATCTGAAATATTTTCAATGTGCCTTATATACTTGATATATATATATATATATATATATATACTTGACTCGATAATATAAACAATAAGTAATGCCTCTTTATTTATGGTAGTTATGTCATTGTAACAATTTATAAATCTCGCAGAAGGAAGATTTTTGAGATCGTGTCAAAAGCGTTGGTGTATGAATGCACGCTACTACAAACTCACGAGAACAATAGAGAAACTAACAGTGAAGCTGACGGCAAAGTCTGACATTTCAAGGAAGAAAGGAGATGTCGGATAATGTGACCAGTAGTCGGGACGCCAACACGCGCTGAAACGAACTTCTCTTGGCCTTAATTATACTTACCCAGCAGCAGCGACAGCAGAATCATTCTCTTTCCGAATAAAAAAATCGGCTAAGATGTTCACGTGGGCCGAATTGTATAAGATCAAATCTCTTCCCTGTTATTTCAGAACATTACTGACGAGAGAGAGCAATTCTCTTAATTGCTTTAACGGAAGAATCGGCACTGCTGATAGCGATGAAATATGCCACCCACTAATTCCCTTCCGGCATTCGGATTTTCCGAATGATCGATTTTTCTGATTCTTCCCTTAAAATAAAAGTAATTAAATATAGATTAATCATTTCTTAATTTCAACTCAATCATTTCTTAATTTTTATCTTTTTCAATTCAGTTAAGATGAGAGATTTTGAGCAATTTTATATTACATATATCGTAAATAAAATTCTTATGTTATATATAACGCAAAAAATTCTTTATTTTTTTAAATCCATTTATGTATTCATAAATGGATTAAAGAAATGTATACTTTTGCGGATTTAAAAAAGATAGATGGAAGAATGGAAAAAGGAAAAATAAGTTATACAAAGACAGAGCTACTCAAAATTCATTGCCACGAATAAAACGCTGTGCGATTATCGTGGATTTTTCGAGAAAGAAAGAAAAATGCAAATTCTTATCTGATGCAAATTCTTACTTTGTAGAGAACGTATAGAAGCAATAAAAATGTGCTTTGGATGTATCTCAAACACTTGCCAAGGGTCAGACATAAATATTCGAAGGAAATATCATGATCCGCTGCACTAAAGCAATTTTTCGAAGTGCTTACATCTCTCTGAAATCTCAAAATTATATTTTTGAATATGAATTGATGAACGGTATTCATTATTGTAAATTACAATGGAATTAGCTGCCAGGTCCATACGTAATGCATAGTGCAAATCACGTACCCAGAGAGAATGTAAATCTACTTTTTAATTATCTAAAGAAGATAATAAAATACAACTCGTAATTATCTCAAGAAATCCAATTTAAGTTATTTCTCAAATAGCCGTTCTCTATAAGTTGTCCTCAACTGATTACGAGAACTATACCTGTGCGAAGTTGAGTAAATCATTAATTTCAACGGAAAGGAGAATTCCTCTTCGAACAGACAAAACTGTAATATAATGCGGAAGAGAAGGTAAGACAAAATTGAATCTCGCGATAATAACTAAAACGGCGGAGAAATCGATATATTACAAGCATTTCGTTATCGTGGCTTTAATCACCTGTAGAATTTTTTGTAGAAAATGCAAAAGAAGAATTCAAAGAAGTATTCATTATAGTTTTCCAATCGAAACTGGCTTGTAGAAACTAGCATATAGAAACAATCGCTAGCTTTATTTATCATTATTTCGATACGTTTTACAGAATATTATTATAAATATAGGAAACCTCCCTTGATAATCACGAGAATCCTCATTCGCAGTGCGCATTGCGTGTACAAACCGAATCTAACAGGTGTTTTCATTAAAATCATCGGTAATTTGGCGGCATAAAATCATACGTTACATATTCGTATATAAATACATTTATATAATACATTTATAATATAAAATAATTATAATTATTTATACATATTAAAATGAGCAGAATATAATCTCCCAAATTTAATTAAATATGAAACATATAAGCTGATTATTCTCTTATTATATCATTCAAGTATAATTTAATTTAAAACAATAATCTCTAATTATTTAATGTGACTTTTATGGGAAAATCTTAATGTAAATACGTATAAAAGAGAATTTAAGTTTATTTATTTAAAATATACTTTTGTGATAGCTTCATTGTGAAATATAAATAATATAACTTTTTTCTTCAATAAAATTTTTATGGTACTGAAAATATCTTCGTTGTTTTTATTTTTATTGGAAAAGTCTAACTTTATAGTGAATTAATCATGGAGAAACTGGTTCCTTTTATGTCTTGACTGATATGATTTTTCTTTATATTTCAGGTCGTAAAAATGATGATAGTCGTAGTAGTAATATTCGCAGTGTGCTGGCTTCCGTTTCATATGTACTTCATAGTGACGTCCTATCTGCCAGAGATTACAAATGAACCGTACATCCAGGAGGTCTTTCTAGGCATATATTGGCTGGCGATGTCCAATAGCATGTACAATCCTATAATTTACTGTTGGATGAATACTAGGTAAGATTTTTGCTTCTCTACTTGAACGTGAAAACACATCGTTTTCACGTTTGCTTCTTGCTTTATTATTCGCAATGCTTTTCAAAACATATAACAATTTTAATATATTGTAACAGAAGTTCAATTTTCTTACAATGTCAGCATTGTAATATATTGGAAAGATTATTTCTTGAGAATCCTTGTGCAGCTCCAATTTCGTGAGATAAGCAAATACATAGATACAGTATCGACGAATCCTCTCGTCATTTGTTAACAGAGTTCGCGAAAGTTTCTCTCTTCAACATCTTGAATACCGCGCAGTGCTTCGCTTCATAAGTTTGCCCATCGCGATAAGCAAGGACTAACTTAAATTATTCTATGTTAATTAGTGGATCTACACAAATTAAACACAAGTCTTCGCTACAAAATATCGCTCTTAAAGTGCAGATCCTCGACATGAGTTTGAGTTTCTATTATAAATATCATTTTTATATCTTATATTTTGTTAAAATGTCACGTATAAATTTTATTAATTTTTAAATTGTATTTGTTAACTTTCTTAATCTATTTTAATAACTTTATCTTTGTTATTAAGATATATAAAATAGTCAAAGGCAGATGTATTTACGTATATGTAAAGTTACAAAGATTTGTAAAAATAGTTTGGTTTACTTAGTATACAATAGTGTAGCTTTATCTTGTAAGGTTCTTAGTTAAGACTCGATTACCGACGATTCATTTCATCGATAATCGTTACCTCATCGAGAGTGTTTGATGAACTGTCGAGAGTTAATCCAATATAGTACACAAAAGATAAGCTTATCCGACTTTAGAGATACCTCGAAGGAAGGATGGAGAAACGCTCAAAGTTATTATAGAAACAGGAAGTAATGTCGTTGCCATTAAAGCGTTTACATAAACGATCAATTTGAATGTTGAATATCCATGATAATGAAAATGTGATCGACCAAACCAAGATTCCGATATATGCAAAATAAACGATTTATGTCGTCATAGAACTTGCATCGCAGGGATATGTTTTCAAACACATGCACAGTTCAGTAAACGTCGACCGATTTACTATATGTCCAGCGAGAAAAGCCATGCGAATCTTCGGAGAGCAATTGAAATAATTTCGCTTTGCTCGCAAATGAGAATGGAAATGTGTCGAGAGTCGAACTGTGCGTGCGTGCGTGCGTGCGTGCATGTGTTGGAATTCTCTCAAATCTCCTCTTATACATCACACGCAGCGTGCACGTTTTATTTCTTGTTAACATCGGCATTGCTGCTATTTATTGACATGTGAAAAAAAATAAATGTAACGTCAAAACCAATAAAATGGAAATATAATACATTGAACACCTCGCTGCGAAGCATCCGCAGATCAAACGCACAATTTCAATTTTCTGCATGCTATCGACAGAATATGCTTCGGTCTCATAAATATTCATTTACGTATGACACGCGAATATCATTGTGTTTCCACATCTGGACCACGATTATAATGATGGTGAATAATAACAACGGCGCAACAATAAGATCATAATGTAATAATTGAAATATAGCCTTTTCTCTATATTATTGCATATGAGATTTTTCATCCGAAACAATTAGATGATTTTGGTAACGTTCTTTTCTTAAAAGATCAATCTTTATCCGTGCGTATCATAAAAAGAATGTAATTTGTATATGA